CTGCAGCTGCGGACCCATTCACTTCGCAAAGGAGAAGGGCCGCCCTCTAATGTAAGTTGTCTTCCGAACCTGAGGTTATCAACAGCCCTTTCCACATATTAGATACCGTGGATGCATTTCAGGTCTGTCCCCTCACTTTTAAGCCATAGATCTTCAAGACTTTGTTTTGTTTCCAAGACACCTACAAATTATCTGCATCGGCTTATCTGGCATCATACCATTAAAACCACGTCTGTCAGCACTTTGCGATAGGCTTATCATTCATTACACGATTATGTCCGGGAGTATGTACGTGTAAAAAGCAAAAACATTATTTTGAACCCGGAAATCACTCGCTAGCAGCAGTAATGACCAGCCACAGGCCCTAACTCAATGAACCCCCTACTAACATTAGAGATCGAAAACTTTCAGAGGCGGGAAACGTCGTAAAACAAGCATTCATTCGAGCTTCAATTCATCACAAAATCAGAACATTCGCCGATCCGACAGTATCGTACGAAATAAACTACGAAGAGCTGAAAGGAACGTGCAGTACATCGCCGAAACTCTTACTGAACGACGTCAGGCAGAGGAGGTACGGTACAGTCTCGTCCGCTGGGGATGCTAAGGCGTGTGGAGGCTGGGTTTAGCGCAGCGCTAGTCATTTCTCCGCTAATTGTTGGAGCCAGCAAGCGACAACAATTGGATGAAAACGGGCTAGCGCCGCACCAAAACCAGACCCTCTGACACACACAGAATCCGCAGTAAAAAAACTTCAATTTTTTTGAAACGAGAAGTCTGCCTCATTCGATGATTCTTAGAGCTCTTTTCATTCAGCTTCGTACCATCACAAGGGAATATGGACACAGTTCGGCTTGGGAGGGGGGGGGGCATTTCGCACTTTCCCTACATCCCAACTACGTGTCGAGCCGTCAGATGGACACCTGTGAGATCTAGGGAAGTCACGAAGCGATGCCAGCCAGAGTTTGTAGAGATCATCTATCAACTCTTGTTAAGAGCACAGGAAGTAGCGAAAGTGGAGAAAGCCCCTCCCCCTAAGTCGTACTGTGCAAAATTTGTAACCCAACTAGTAGCCAAGAGTTGCCTTCAAAAGCGAAGATGCTTCTATGAGAGGCAAGTGAGTTGTGTGTAGAGACCTCGTGTCACAATCCATGAGCAACTGTCTTTGGCTCATGAGTTTCAATTCAACGTGTATGTCGATTATGTGTCATCAACAAAGACTGGAAATAATTTACAGTTTGTCTACTGCTCTAGGCACCACAATGTTCAATATCCCATGACGGGTGACGATTTAGAGTTCTCGCAGCAATTTTGAAGGTCAGCAGCGTTCTTGATCGCGAGAATCGCAAACATCGCACAGAAACCCTCGAGGCTTTGATTCCAGGTCAACTTATCCAAAATGTAGCCGCGGAAGAGAAAATCGCCGCAGATCTCATATAAGAGTCCTTTCTCAACACTCTGACGCTGACAAGATTCGAAGCCCAGTCGTGGCCACCTGGTGTTCTGTGAAGATCGAACTGTGGTCGGTGAGGCCCCCTCTTAGGCAGCGTTTCATAATGTTTCGCAACAGCCATGCGCGAATTTGCCGCGATCATCGGTGTGCCTGTCCGCGAACATATGAACGCTGCCTTACGATTAGTGTTGATCTGTAATAATAATCGAAACTTCCATTAACAGGTAAGTGAGAACGCTTGGTGCGGGCAGTAAAAATTGCTTCGAATCCGTTCAGGCTCTGAATGATAGTGACCTGCTGCCGAAACGTAACCCAACCTAAATGTAAAATTTAAAAGAAAAACCTCGGTGATCCGCAAAAGCAAGAAAACGTACAAAGCCAACTCCCGCTGTTTAATGATCTATGTTTCGATTCTCCCGGCGTGCATCCCGTCCCACACCTTATATAGCGCTCAATCCTAGGGTGACTTCTATTCACTCATAGCCGAAGTACCCACCAGCTGTTTGAAAATGAGTAGCACAGGGTACACCGTGAGCTGCGCTCCGATGAGCTCGCTGAGGGTACGTAGGCAAACTCCGAAAGAACCTCTAATAAAGAGGGTATCAAACAAGTTCAGCGTTCAAAGTTAGTGGGAGAGAACTGGGAGGGGCCGTGCAAAGTTTTCACGATTTTTTGGTGAATCTCTGAAGAGAAAAACTTCAAGCTACCCACGGTGGGCAGACTGAAACCATTGTGCGGCACAAGTGTTAAGAAATAACCTCCCTTGTTGGACTTCTTTTGCTTTGGCTATCGTGAAAGCCCAAAACGCTGGCTGTACTGAGTAATTTCAGAACGAAGCCGACTGGCAATTCATCTCCTTGGTCATTGACAGGATCTTGCTCGTTATTTTCGCCTTCTTCATTACCGCTGGCACACTGATCACCTTTCTTTCGGCACCATCCATCACCGACACACGGCAGCCAATTACCACCAAGTCATAAATGTGTTTGTAAGATTGAGAACAATAAAGATTCATTAAATGAATTCAAAAACAACAATCCCAAAACAGCAAAAAATGCGGCGTCGTTACTTGTTCAGCAAGCAGTATCAAGGCCCGATGTACGATGAGACAACGAAAGACGATATAATACCACCAGGACTGAGACAGTTCCCGACGACCACAGTTTACTTCTTTTGGGCTCTTCTCTTGCGCTTCAGCCGACGCATTCGCTTCTTACGCCACTAAATAGAAGAAAATTTAAATACGATCCGGTTTACATAAAATCTTTAAGGCTTTTAGAGAGCTCATGGAACAAAATGAAAATGAAACATACCTTTTCCCTCATAATGAATGACGCACTTCGTTTCTAGGCAGAGACGAAGCACCTAAAATAGCTTCTATAGTATTCGCAGTAAGAATGACAGACAAACTTCTTAGAAACTATTTTCAACGAAAGGCAAAAATAATAATAACTGCCGAGCTCGAAATAAAACTGAACAGCCGTCCTTCCTTACTTTAAACCTCACTGGATTGAGAAATCGAGTCACGATTGTCTAATGCCACCCACTTATCCCCTATTAATAGCTCATACAACCAAGGAGAGTATGCAGCGCAAATCGCCCTCAGTAACTTCATGAAGGACTCACGACTATTGCCACACATGTTGCTAACACTATCACCAACCTCTCACTACCGGCAACTTTTACACGGAAGTGTTACCAATTAAATGAAAAGCGTGTATCATAAGTTCTCCTCAAAAATCACGAATCCCGTCACCAAGTACACGCTACAGACCATCCAGGATAAATGCACATGCGTCCCTCGCACGAGAAAACCATTTATCGCAGCAACCCTGTTATTGTTATTGACATATTGGCGCTACGATGCAAAGGGAAGGGTTACAGAAATTGACATTTGCGACTTTTTTTACGGGACCAGATTCCTCCTGCACTATCACCAGGTCCGATAGCGAGCCAATCGAAGAACGATTGACTTTGCATGGCTCAACCCTCAACAACATAATCACTAGAACCGAAACTGAGCGAAATGAAGACGCCAAATTAGGAATCAAACGCCGCACAAAATAAGTCGATCAAAGGACGTCCGCAACGCGCCCGCTCGCATTTCTCGGCACGTGAGCCGTGAAGGTTCGCGTCGATACGCAGACGCTTCAACGCTGTCCTCTTTTCGAATGTTGGCCAGTTGCCCACTTTTTTTGCCGACTGGCGACTCAACCATTGCGCCGCCACTGCCGGTATCGAATGTTCTCGTTTATGTCACTTGCGATCGCCATTCCGCCCTTGTGGGCCCTCCGATTTCAGTTCTCACTGACATATAGTCCAACGTACCATTCAATTTCAGGTCCATAGAAGCTGGGCTTACGTTCACCTTCTAAGGAGGTTGAACCCTCAAAGATCGAGTCGTTCTTTGTTCGTTCTGCGCTTGAGTGACCTTGTATTTGTTCAGGGTTTCCTACCTATGTGAACTCAGTTGCCGTTCCGCCCTTGCTTCTGGCGTACGAAGGCTTTTTCCAGCTTCAAAGGGCCCAGGAAGAAGCGTATTCAATTTCTGCTTCGGGCAGAGTTGTTTCAAAGATTCAATTCATCTGGAAGACCAATAACCAGAGATTGGAGAGTTCCGTGGAACGGAGCTTCTGTTAAGCGCAGAGAATTGCTGTTGAGTCACAAATCGCGTCACTTCCGTTTTGAGTGATTATTCATTTACAGAGCAAAAAGTGCACTCGACATAAGTGATTCACACCCGTTACTAAAAATAGCTTTAACAAGTTCAAGCCTGGAAATTTTCAGACAAAAACGAGTTGTAGGGTCCCTCGTGGGCATATGTTAGGATAACTAATGAAAGCTAGTCTTAATAGACAAATCTTGCGATCTGAACAGCGCCGTCTAGTAAAATGGGCACGGCACTTTAAGGTGCGAACGATCGAAAAACAGAAGCCGGGGGATTAGGGCTTTACGTAATACTGAGCCAAGAGGGAAAGGTTCCGGGTGGGTATGTGAATTCCTTCGTGAAGAATGTGTCGTGATTTGTGCACTGCACCAAAATGTCCACCTCATTGGAATAATGTGGTATGATCTGCCGCTGGAAAGAATTTCCCCTTCAACTTGAGTTGGGGTGGCTATTTGGCAAATCTCTATGTACTTCTCCCTTACAAAGGCTCATGTTCAGAGCGCAGACTACCAGAGTCACCGATAATCTCGCAGAGGAAACGCTTAGTCTACACTAATCGTAAGCGGGAACCGTGATTGGAAGAAGGGATGTAGGCGCACTCGAAACAGAGTGCATCACTGTTGGAAGAACCCCATCGGGCGGAGGTCGTACTTGGTCGTTAGGGATGGGATCCTATTTGCCTCAAGGGAAGCCGCAAAAAAATTCTTGGTTGCGTATTTTTCTCGGTTTTCTGTCGTGGTAGTTGAGGAGGGTGTACGAGATGAATGTTTTGTACGAGATGATTTTTTTGGCGAGGGGTCGTATTATTTCACACATCACAGTGCCACATTCTGTCTGGAAAGGTCACGCCTCAACTTCGTCACCAGTAGAATTTTGGACCATTTTAGACCATTTTCTCACGTGGATCTCCGAAATAGCGCTTATTCGGGATTCGCGGTCAATGAAGCATCCCAGATGCTACGTAAACGTAAAATTTTATGATCGTCATAGAGGATGACAATCTTCAGCGTAGGTGCCTTAAGAGGAGTGCACAGTCCAGGCCGTACATGAAAGAATCTTGGTTGTTGGTAGGAAGCAGAAGCGGGCTTTGAAGAGCTCAGTAGATGGTTAATATTTCAAGGGTATGACAGCTTTTCGTCGCGATGAGTTCATGAGCATTCCTAGTTGCCCCTGCTTTTTGTTCCCGGTCGACTCGATATAGGCACATCTTTTAGACCAGAACCTTTGCGAGTTGAGGTTTTCGCTCATTCAAGCGCGCCAAGTAGTCCGCTATCGTTAGCTATACCTTTAGATGGTGAGACTGTAGGAGCGCCTGTACTTCGCACATTTGGTATTCAATAGTTTTTTTTCTTTT